CGGAAATCCCATCCATCGCGCTGGTGGTCGGTATATTCAAAACGCCGGGAGGAATGAGGCACTGGTATATTATTTGTTATAATTACTTATAACGTTAACCTATCGTTCCGTAATTAATATTTTACATGTTGTGCAAGCTATTGGCTTACATCTATTCTACCAGTTGGGACTGCAGATGCAGCAACATACCGGCGAGGGAGCGACAGCTTTGCACAAGTATGGCCGGCACGTTACAAATTTGGCTTCCCGGATATTGAGGCGAGCCCGAAATGATGAGCGCTTAGGATACGAGGATGATTATGTGCCGCCAGAGCAGTACCATCGTGGGCCAGCAATGGAGCCTGAACATGGTCGACGTGGCAGGCGTGCCCAGAGTGGAAGGAGTGTCCCACGAGGTCGTGGGGGTCGGCGAGGACGTGATTCCTAGAAAGGGGGCGTTGAGGCACCTGTTGAGGATTTTGGAGTTGACCAGCCGGGTGACCACCCTGAGCCAGACGATGCTCCTCATGATATGCCGTCATTCAGCCTTCAGCTGACACCAGGGACTTCGCAGGTGACCTCGTCAACTCCATTGTTGATCGCGGACATGGCCATTACACAGCAGGAGTGGGATCAGTATTTTCCTGATCAAACAGGGCCATCGACGGTTGCTGAGGATCGTCCGATACGAGAGGTGCATAGTGGGCGACGACTGAGTTATGGCTCATCATCAAGGGCTGCTGAGGAGTGTGTCGCTACTCAGGCGCATGTTTGTTTGTATTACTATTATTTCTATTTGTTTTTATCTCATTAATTAGTCTTCAGTATCTAAAGAGTTTTTATTTTCTTTAAAGACATCATCATCGCCCGTCACGGAGGCCACTTTGAGCGATACTAACATGCCAGACACGGCTGATTTTATTCAGGAGCCCACCGAGATCATGGTATGACCATTAAAAAAAATTTAGCTAACATGTACGTTAGTAATTTATATTATATATACTAAAATATCTTATTATTTTGTAGGTTACTGCTAGACTGACGGCCGCTTCTACTGAGTCTGCCAGCCTTACTGTCGATCATGTTGCAGCGCATACTCTGATAAAGAGGCGACATGATGAAGATGATCATGATAGCATAGCCGGGCGGGATGGGATGCGCCTCAGGCCAACGAATGCTTTAAAGCATACAGGTTGTGGGACACATTGACATTTATTATTATTTGTATGTATGATATTAAATATATAGTAGCAACATTATTTATGTTTTACATAATCTGACCATGAGTTTTTATTTCTCGAGATATTTAGTAGTTTAACAGTACAACACAAAAAAATGATAGATTAACATAAAATTTAAATTCTTTACCAATTAAAGAT